GGCGCCACCGCACCCTCGCCAGGGCGAGACACGGCCCACGGCAGCTCCTCCAGCCCAGCCAGAGCTGGGATGCACAGGGCGAGCGCGGGGACCAGCCTTGTCCAGCACAGGACACAGTGGCTGCCCCAAGCCCTCCCATCTCCCTCCTGCTGCTCAGGGGCCACATCCTTCCAGAGCCACGGGAGACTCTGTCCCCCACAGTGACACCAACCCCACACGGCACCCGCAGACCCCAGTCCTGCTCATCCCTCTGGAGCCAGCACCAGGCCAGGCTCCTGCGTTTACCCATGGGCAAGGGGACCCGGTTCTCCCTCCTGGGCTCGCTCCTGCGCTCTGGCTCCTGGGTGACCTTTGCACAGGACGGGCTGCAGGAGGGAAGCAGGTGCTGGGTGTGCTCTGGGCAGGAACGCTGGGGCGGCACCGCGACTGGGGATGCCCCAGGACCAGCCCGGTGCTCCCTGCGCCGTGCCAGTCTGGCGGGGCACAGGGAACAGAGGAAAAGCTGTTCCAAAGAGGCCACGGGGGAGGAGGTGGCTCCAGGCAGGACACACACAGCTGAAAGTGTCTCTTAAAAAGCTCCAAAAATGCAAACACGGTTCAATAAAAGCCCCCCACCCCCCTTCCCTGTAAAACCCTAGCTGTAAAAATTGGCAGCGTTTTGCAGCCAGCGCAGCCCGGCTTCCGTCCCCAGGGAGCAGCGAGCGGGGCAGGGGGACGCGCAGAGACGCGCGATCACAGCACGGACCCGCTCCTCCAGGCACGTGGGGCGGCTTCGGTGACAGGCCTCGTGGATGAGACACCTCGGCCGGGACACAGGATGGACACACAGCTCTGCGCAGGCCCCAGGGCCCCCCCCGGCGCCAGCCGCAGCGAGGCCCTGCCCTGCACCTGCATGGGACGCACAGACAGGTCCCCGCAGAGGGGACCGCAGGGGTGGCCCCAACACCGCTCACACCGATGATGACGGGACAAGCAGCATCCCCAAGCACCTGAGCCCTGTGTTGCAGTTGTCCTCAGGGTGCCTCCAAGCAAACATGATTCAGAGGGAAGCCCAGGCTGCCCCATGGGCACAGCGGGGCCATGGGGACAGTGTGACAGCAGGGCACAAGACCTGGGCAGAGCACAGGGGGCTGCAACAGGGTCTGGCGAGAGGGCAGTGCCCCAGGGATCGGCGTGTGCGCAGCCATGGCGTGGGAGGGCTGGAGCAGCCGGGAGAACTCAGGGTGCTGGGGCTGAGCCGCACGCAGAGCCGGCAGCGCCCGGCGGCCCCCGCATCCCTGCAGCACAGGGAGCGGAGCCCCGGGGGGCGAGCGAGGCCGAAGTTGTGGGGAGACATCAGCAACCTGCCTGTTTCCCCTGGCCCCCACCAGAGGCAGGAGACGTGTCCCAGGAGCCGCCCTCAGCTGGGTGCTTCCTAGTGCTCCGTGTGGGAATGCCGCCCAGCTCCAGACAGAGCACGGTGCCAGGGGAGAGCCGGGCTGCCCCCGGGGTGTCCCAGGCAGCCAGACCCTCCTGCAGAGCCGCAGGGGCTGGGCCGGAGGGGCCCTGGGCTGCTCCCCCCCTTGCGGAGACAGAGCGGCCTC